AACATGCTAAGTTGCGACAAACAACTAATTCCTCACAAGGTAAAGATACAGCTCTGAAGTTGTTCAGTAATGTTTCAACAGAATGGGTCTTCACTTGAAAAGGTCAGTGTTTTGAAACCAGAACTCTTCACTGTGAAATACATGCTAGTTTTGGCAGAAAGGTTTTAGCAAAGATGCAGTTTCTTCTGAGAGAGGAGGGTGAGTTTATTGTAGGAATAAACAGTGTTCCAGTGGCTGCAGCACAGACCCTGCAGTGGTGGGTGAGTCAATCAAGTCTGTTTTTCCTGATTCAGTGTGAGTTTTGATATGTCTTTCACACCACAGATAAAAACCACCAAGCTACTGGCTGATATGGAATTAGAGTCTTCTCTGTTTACACTTTGTATAAACAAACACTAGTTTTAGCAGATACTTGAACTTGGGACTTCCAAACTTTGCCTGAGCTCAGCAGCTGTTGGGTGTGATCTTCTCTTTCTTCTTTCATTAAAAACAAATAAATAAACACTGAAAAGATTTTCATGCAAAAGGTGAAAACACTTGAGTTTTCTAACTTTCACAAAGACAGGCAAATATTTCCCACATAGTTTTAGTCAGTTTTTCAACATATTTTATTTCAAGGGATGCTTGCATGTTATTAGTGTTAAAAAAGAATTATTAAATTGAATTTGCTTTGTCTTGTCATGTTCCTTTCTCTCAGTTTTTCTGTGTTTACTCTATTCACTGTTATGCCCTAAAATAGACAGTAAAGACTTCAAAGCAGGTGTCCTATCTTCCTGTGGATATTTCTTTGATGCATAATGGCAGAAAACTTATTGGAGACTGGTTGCAGCACTAAATGACAATAATTTTTCTGCAGAATGTCGAGCTGCAAATCACTGACCATCTTTGTTTACTACCTCCTCAGTGTTCTCTAATGTGTTATCACCAGTTTCTTGTCAAAAAAAATTCCCACATTTCTTTCAGTCATTCATCCAGATAAATCTGCTGATTTTTCACTTATTTTTCCATCCTGCACACCTAAGTTGTTGAATTCATTCGTATTTGCTAGAACTCCACAACCGTGACTGTATAACCATGTGATGTGTCCCAGGGTCTTTCTCCTTGCCTCTCCCTTCACTGTCATTGCAGGGTCACAAATGATATGGCAAAACAGGGGGGTGTTATTTGACGTACTTAATAAGACACAAACCTGACAGGCACTACTGCTAACACTGGATGCGGTCAATTTTTTATAATAGCTTCATGTAGAAAAGATGATTTTATTTTTTTTTAATAAATGTAATAGATCCTTTTCGGATCTTGAGAAAGGATGAAAACCTCGCTTTTAAGTTTTTTGCAAATCAGCATTCCTCTCCTTTCCCCCGAAGAAAATGAAATGGAAGCCTGTATTTTTGAATATAATGCCAAATCTTTCCTTGTCTACTCCCTTCTGCTCTCCAAAAAGCACTGAAACACAAAGGACCTTCTCTTCCATAGACTTCAGAGAGTGTGGAATCTTTTTTTTTATACCAGAAAGCAACAATAAAGAGCAAATTTTGCTTTGTGGCTTATACTCATAAATTTGATAGTGATGCCAAATGTATACTCTTTTCCTCATTTCAATACCAAGTAGCTTTTAAAATGCCTTTAAAAGTAATTTTCAGAGAGTGAAGAACAAGCATGAAGTTCTGAATTTTATGTAGCCCCCAAGCATCATCATTTATAAAGAGGGATAAACCCAGCATCTGAACACGATTTGGTTGGCTCAGAGAGCACACAAATAGACTCTCAGAAGCATCAACAAATTCTTCACTGAATGAAGATCAAGTTGCTAAGGCACATTCAGAGAAGGAAAACACACACCTCAATTCAGTCTGTGAGGAAGACAAATAGTTTTGAGCTTTATTACCCTTTTTTGTTTTGAGATTCTGTGGAATTGCCTCTCGAAACATCCTCCTGCTTCCTAACTGATAAACAAAATCCTTAATTATGCTACTCACAAGACTACTTTTTAACATTAATATTCCCCCAGTTCTCTTGAGTTTCATGACAGGACTTGGCTCAATTGTCTCTATGCATAGCAAGAAAACCAATATTCCTTCTAACGTAGCATTTTATAGGACTGAGCTCTTTTGTCATACTTTGCAAACCTAACATATTTAGGTTGGGACACTAAATACATAACTTTTAATAATTGAAATAAACCAGCACTGTCATTTCAGTAAATGCCTATTTTTATACCTGCCAAATATGCAGAACAGGTAACTGGAGATTTACTGATTGTTGCACAATTGTTATAATTTAGCCATGGATTTACGAGTCGCACATGCAATTGCCTATTTTGTTCAGTTCTGCATATTGCACAAAAAATATTGTATTTATTTTTCCCCATATTTTGCAGGTTTTTTGTAGGAAATAATGGAAAAAGTTGATTTGGTGAGAAATATTAAATTGAAAGCTCATGCTTTTATGTTTTATACGTGGGTTGACCTCTGTTAGATCAGAAGGTTAATTAACCCCTAATGACACACGTTTTTACTGTGTGTATCAAACAGCATTTTTGTTTGACCATACATTGTTTTTCTTCTTTTTTTTTGTTTTCCCTGAGAAGTGAACGCATGCTACTGGCTGGGTTTTTTCTAATTTTTCAGTTTCAACATCCTCCCCCAAACCCATAATTTACCCAGATTTATTCACCACCTTTATCTATAATTGATCTGGTCATATGGTCTTAATAAAGTTTAAGTACTTAAAATGTAAGAACACGGCTATCCTCCAAAAAAGTTAATTTTAAACTGTGCTGAAACACGTACACTAGATAATAAGCAATTTTAGAGATATATGCATGTAACAATATACGTGTATAATAGTAATCAAAATAACATAAGTACAATAAGTATGACTTCCAATTGGAAAATCTCCTAAACAGAATGACTTCTGAATTTTGCTGAAAAGACACAGGCTCACTGAATTTCATCTCTAAGAAATATTGGATATTTGTATAAGACATTCACCATTCATTATGAATAGAAATGAGGATAAATAGCATATTCTAAATACCAGGAAAAAACCCCAAACACCTTTCAGGATTATTGGAAGGATCTCAACACAAATGTTAAATACTAAGCTGAGAACACAGAACAGCCACATGATAATTTCTAACAGAGTTATGCTTGATATTTGAAATTTTCATGAAGCAAACCTTTTCATTTTAAGAGAATAGAGGTGTTTCTTACCCATTCTTTATTTCTTTTGGCATCTATTTAGATTTAACACCTTTTTACATAGCAGTATGTGCTATAAGTACGGTAGTTCTCGTTAGCAAAGATTTTTTACTGTTGATGTTTTCATCTAGTTCATTTCTCCTTGCTGGCAAGCATTTAATGTCTCCAGACATATTATGATTCATAAGATGAATAACTTCCTCTTGCTCTGGGATTCAGGAGACCAACATGGAAGTGTCCTATTCCTAGAGCAAAAGCTTAGATGAATAATGTAGTATGACGACAGTATCACTCAGTGAGGGAGTTGTTCTGGGGAGTCTCTTCAGCAGCTTAAAGCTGTTGGTCAGGAAAAGGTAGATTAAGGCAGATAGTGGTCTTCTGAGTCAGATTTTTTCTGACGTAAGAAATATATGGTGGTGAAACAGTGTTAGAATCATTTTGCAATACTGTATTTGGATGCAAACTTCATTTGAGATTTTAGCTTTCAACTGCTTTACCAAATTTATGTAACACAAATGTTAATTAGGGTAGAAAATTATACAGCAAACTCTTATGCACATTGCACTTAGTCAAGGTCAAAATCCCATTTTTATCAAAAGGTTAACGTAGCTTCTTTTTTTTTCAAATAGTCTATTGACACCATTGATTTGGAAAGATGTGATATTTTCAGTAATTATTGCATCATGATGCAGTATATTTGCCTATGGGTTCATTCTGTATCTCTTCATTTAAAAAGAATTTTCCATAGTTTTCCCATATATATGTTAAAAGCCCAATTTTCTTGTAACCAGAATTTGAGTTACTTAATTGCTTTCAACTCTTTCTTGTTTTATACTTTGAATACCTAAAATTAAATACTTGAGGTTTAGAATCTGATCTTTCAGTTCTGTTTTATACCTGGTTTATCTCTACTGAATTCAACAGAATTATTCATAGTGGTAAAGAAGCTGATTCAGTAATGGTTATATCCAGAAATCAGGAATTCACTTTAGAACAACTTCAACATATTGTGTTTAAATTCATAAAACATAAATAGTAGCTCCCTGGTGAGTCTTGGTGAAAAAGACCAGATAGGTACCAAAGCAGAGAGATATCTTGCATTTCAGTTGTTTGATAGTTAAGAATTGGAATGTCCTTTGAATTTTAGTATTTCAGGGTGTTTATATAAGCATATAAAGTAGCTAATTAAAAAGAAAGAAGTCAAATATGATCATTCTGGTTATCTACCTTGAACTGCCCTTAAGTGCCAGCAAAAACTTGAAGTGTGTTATCCCCAAGTCATTGGCAATCATGGCTGCAACTCTAAAAAATGTCTTTTAAGAACACCAGTGTCAGATTTGTCATCTAAAACACTTATTTGGCCCTGCAAGTTTTAAGATGACGGAAGATGACAGCAGCATCTCCTCAGAATGAAGAGATTCACAGGGAGCCATGATCTCATAGACATAGAATAGCTTGAGGCTTTGCTCTGAGTCATCTCTCTCTAATGGCAATTTTAAGGTCACTCCTCAACATGGTCAGTTTATTTTGGAGATGAGAAACAACACTTGGCAAGAAAGAAACAGAGATCAATTGGCACAATACATGACTATAGCTCAGTTAATCAAAGTGCCTTTGAAATACTTTTAATGTGTATCTTTGGTGTTCTGTTGTTCCAGAAATGTGTTCTAAGTTTTCATCTGGTATTTTAGAAAGGAGTCTGAATTCCATAACATCTGGATAGGGTGTGATTTAGTTTTAGTACTTCGAAAAGTCTTCCTTGACAAAGCTGCATTACTGAGATTCATTTCTTAGTCTTTATTTAAAAAATTTTATGCAAGGAAGAGACCTATCACACATGTTAATTCCTTGGAGTTAGAGGCTATCTCAGAGACCAGAACAGAGAGGGAAATTTTGTGTTCGTATGATAGCTTTGTCAGAACAGCTGCATAAAAGTGAGGGAAAATAAATGTTGTTGAAATAACTTCCACAGACGTGGCTGAGAAAGCAGAAAGCCTAAAGGAGACCTAAAGCTCATGGCAAGACTTTTTCACCAGGTGTACTCTGTGTGTCCACACACGCAGATAAAGAACATTTTTAGGCAGTGAAGGCAAAACATTGGTTTAGGAGGAAGTTCAATATCAAGAGAATTTTGAGTTGGTGCCAGAATGAATACTATAATGTTCTTTAATGTTTCAAGTAAAGGTTTGCCACACTGTTTGAAGAAACGTGCACGTATCCATCTGCAAAAAGCCAGCTGTCCAGGAAGCAGTTCTATTGTGAAGAGTCTACTCTTGCCTTTCAGGGAAATATGTAAGTTCTCACTTTCTGATGTGGAACAGAAGGATTCACACCCTCTGAATACTTCCAGCTACTAGTTTTCTAGACATGTGGTCCTATCTAAACTCACTGTATGACATCCTTACCTTCTACCCCTGAGAGCTCAGAACTTCCTTCTTCAGGCCAAGGAGGGACTGTTAGCCCTGAACCCTGAAGTTAACAGAGAACTCACGGTGCTTTTACTCCATCAGTACTGTCTGCTTCAGGTAAACTGACTTTCTAAACATCTGACATGAAAGATAATTCTAGGCAAACTTGAAATATTCATTCAAGATATGATGAAGACAAATAATTTCAAAGGCTTGTTTTCATTAGCGAACCACAGCTATTAATAGCATGATTTCTTTTCCAGTGAAGGGAAAGAATTCCCTTCTACTTTCCAGCTGTTTATCTCAGTTAATATTACCTTGCACTTGCTTTTAGTTCCTTGATTACTCATGTGCAAGGAGGTGGATAGGTCTTATCTCATAACTGTGTGCACCTTGTCTCAAATGCTTTTACCCGAGCTTGGGAATTTGGTTCTTTTCTGCCTAAATGAACAACCACAGAAGAAGCTTAAAAAACTAGTTCATGAGAGTTCCTTTTCAGTAACAAATATATTTACTTCCGAGAAATGTTGATGGTGACACCATGTTTCCCTTCCTATTTAAAAAAGTCTATCATTATTTTTATTTGAAATAAATGGAAAACTGTTTTCCATTCAGTCATTCATTAGTTATTGAATGGTCTATATTACTTGCTCTTCTCCCTGTGCACTGAATAATAGAATACAGGTATACAACAGGGCTTTCAGAAGAAGTGTGCAAGAACAGATGGGGTTTGTGCAAAACACATTTGTATAGGTGAAGGAGGAACTTGACCCCAGGGCTTCAGATTACAGAACTCTCATAGAGAACTGGTTCCTGGGAGCAGTCAGAGACAAGAAATAGAAATAGAAAATAGAAAATAGCTGAAATAGAAAAATCTGTGCTCCTGATGCTACATTTTATTCATAGGAAAGTTGCAGTTATATAGTATGGCATACTGGTTAATGAAGCTTTAATTAGCTCTTTTTAGACTCAATAAACCTTGGAAGTGTAGGCCCTGTTCGTACACTATTGCTGACCTTCATGTCTTACCTGAAAGTGAGCAAATAACAAATGGTATTAGTGCTACCCATGAAGATAAGGCTGAAGTTGAGCAGCAATTATGGCTGAAAACCTGCAACATTTGAAGCCTTTTCAATTCTTATGCTATAAGGAGTCTTTCATGCAAGTAATAAATTGGATGGCACTTAGATGAGGAGTACAAGTTGAAAGAGAGAAAAGTGAAGACCAGACAGTGCAAATCCATGTGCACGACTCAGACATTTGCCACAGTTCTGGGATTTCTGTAAGTGGCAGATAAAGAACAATTTGACTGTAGAGCTCAAGCTGTTACTATTCAGCATTCCCAAGATGAAATTTGATGTCACTGAGCAGATTCATGGCACCCACAGCATGGCAGGAAACGCAAATAAGAAGGAAAAAAATGCAACACCTACAGAAAATGATGATGAAAAAAATGAAGGTAAAATTGGGTGTTACTTTTTTCATTTTTCTTTTTTTTTTTTCTGTCTGTACTTTCCCATTGTGAAGCAAGGACATAAAATGATTGACATTGTTACCAGGAATAACTCCTGAAATATTGAAATAAGTAAAAAGTGTCTGATGAGAACTGTGACCTGAGACAGAGAGAGGCTGTAGAGTGAAAAGGATCAAAACATTAATAGCCATTAATGCAGAACAAATACAAAAGTTCAAGGTAAAGGAAGGGGGAAGCAGAATAGGCAGACACTGAGAGAACAGACGTTGCTGCTTAAGGTAGAGAAAACACACAGGAGGCAGGAAGCAAAATGCTCAGCCTAAAATATTACTGAGTTGTGTGTAGGCAAAGAAAATATCCTAGTGTTTGTTCCCTAAAGGAAATGGAAGCTGAAGCATGTGCAGGCACACAGAGAGGCTACCAAGAAGCACAGGTTGTATGACCAGATTGTCTCCAATGTTCTCCATATGCACACTCCTTATCCAGACAAAGCTGACTGCTATTCTTTCCACTTTGCCATAGGACCAGGGTTCTGGCTGACCAGCAGAGCTATAATCTTATTCCAGCAACACCAATAAGCAACTGGTACGTGACCATGAGAAGAGAACTTCAGCATTGCAAGACCAGAACACTGGCTATCAAAAAGATTAATCACAAGGGGATATATTGTTGCCTGAATATTTTAACAACTGGCATGGAAATACTCTACCTTCCAAGAAAACTCCCTCCCAGAACAGCCGAGTAAATCTCAGATGAGCTATCAACTTGACCCACCACCGAAACGTTTAATTTTTTCCAAAATCAAATTAAATGAGTTAATTCTTTTTTCTACTTCTCTCTTTAATTTTAAAGTGACTTCTAAAATGTTTCCTAATGAAAAACCAATATGAAATTATTATGTTACCTAAATGCAGAATGTTTCTGCTATTCCAAAATGCATTGACTTCTCTTATTGCTTACCATTTTTGACACTTACCTAGACAAAATTTCACTTAAAATCACAAATAACTTTGATTCTCTTCAGTATTTCGAAGAGAAATAAGGAAGTACTTGGCCAAGGGAATCAAGAAACATGTGCCACAATAAGGAAAAAAATGTGCCTTGATAGTGAGCACAAGGCAGAATTCACTGCTCTGGAGTAAGGAACTGGTTCCACTTTCCACATGAGAGATAGGACAAAGCCTGAGTTGACAGAGCTGTCTGGGAGTACCAGAGGGTTTGCAAGTCCTCTGTTTTGGATTGTTTGTGAAAACAAAGCTCTCTGTGAATTACTGTGTTATGTTCACACCTCACATTTTCACAAACCCCAGTCTCTGTTCTAACAAAATCTCACAAGTGACACAATTATAAAAGTAGACTAACATTAAAACTGACAGGATATAAAATGTTCTCAGTTCAGTAGCTTGGATATAAGCTAAAAGCAAAGACAGCACATTTCTGCACTTGAAAAACTTCCCCCAGAATCTTCTTTCAGGGACAGCTTGAAAAGACAAATTGTACTGGAGTTTTCCAATCTGTCACAGTAGAGAAAATCTTCTGAGCTGTAGAGAGATGGCTTCAAATGAATAATATATCATTTTATTTGTGAATTTATAAACAAATTTATAAATTTTATAGTTTGGTTGGGTTTTTTCTCACTTCAAATAACAGAAATACACCTTCCAACTCTAATCCCAATACATACTACCAAATCAACTCCAAACCAAGTGTTGGAGTACCTCATTAATTGAAATTTGTGTCTATTTGTAATGTTAATTCTCTCTTCAAAATGAAAATGTCAATGTAGAGCAAAGTGAGCAAATATTTTAGTGGGAACTCTGGGCTAAAGAGGATCTCCCATACTGCATGAAGTTGGAATTCAGGATCAGTGTATCTCACTGAAAAATAACAGTACAAGTGAGAGGTTATTGTCTCTCGTGAAAGAAGAGAGATTATGTATAAGACCCTAAACAGCAAGTTAGTTTTAAGGCTAATGAAAAACTCTACCAATCTCTGACTTAAAATATGTGGATTTAACCAGTTTATGAGAAATTTGCCTCAGTGCACAGGAGTTGGTAAAATCTCATCATGCTGTGACATGACACACGTAAAACTGAAAAAAGAACAGTGTTTTCTGATCAAATTATTCATAGAAACATAACTTCCTCAGTGGCTGCTTATTCAGTGCTCATCTATGATCATCTGTAGGGTTACACTTTCATATGAACTCTGTTCTAGCATGCTGTCATGGGTGATAGCCTTTATAGTTTGGTGAAGTTCTCAAAAATGAGCATTTTATAACTCATTTTCTACTTGTTCTGATTTCTCTTTTTGTGAACTATGTTAACTGCAGGTTTATTTTCTTTTCCTCGAGGAAGGTTCATATATATTTTTTCAGTTAAGCATTTTGATTAAATGAATCACTAAGATTTTCTGGGAAATGAGTAAGTAATGATTTTCGTGTTTTATAAATGGGGAAGCTGAGGAACAGAGAAGGAAAGTGACTTTCTGTTCTGTAAGTGGCAAGGCTGGGAATAGAAACTGGAGATCTTTACTGCCAGTTCCACTCTAGTTGATGGAGACCACTGTTCCACGGGTGACATTCCCACAGCTCCACTTAGAGCTGCTGAAAAAAAATTCTATACAGTCTCAATAGTTTAATAGCACTGGCTGAAGTAGGGTCCCACCATATCCTTCCCTACTCCTCCTCCTTTTTCCTAATTTCCTTTTTAAAGTGATTTTCCTTGTGGGGTTTTGCAGATCATATGATAAGTGATACACTAAGTCATCTGTCACAGTTTCATGCAATTTTATTACAAAATAGTAGATGCTCTGGAAGTGCTTTGGAGAAAATAAACTAAAAAAAAAAAAGCAGCAGATCTTAATTCTGATTCTTTTGAATTTTCAAAAATTAGAAGGAAGTTCAAGAAATGGACACATATAAAATTCAGCAAATTATCAAAAATATTCAAAGAAATGGTTATAAAAGCGAGAGTGTAGAAAGCCTATAATGCCTTAAGGGAAAGGAAATGTGTAGTGGAGTTGTTGTGATGGTATGTAATTCAACACCTTTCACTTGGTATAATAATTTGAGGGTGTAGTAAGTTAGGATTTTGAACTCCTATTGCCAGATCAGAAAAAAATCTTGTGTTCCCTCTGCAAACCATCATCTCAACATAAATTGCATTTGCTAATTAAGATGTTGTCTGTCTTCACGTCATGGTAAAAACCTTCATAAACATCATAATTGGTCTGGATATTCCACAGAAGTGCAGTTATCATCCCTGGCTGATGTGGATCAGATTTATATGGTAAAGGGATTTGATCCTGTGCAGATCTGGTGTTAGTGAGTCATGACCTGAGTCAGAATGAACAGTAAGGACCAATCTGGAAAGAATCCCTGTGTTATCACTTCTTTTAACGTAGTAAAAGTCTCAACTAGACATGGTTCTGCCTCCATTCTCTTTCTGGCTCATTTCCTTGACCTGTCCATGAACAGTTTTTTGAGCTGTCTGTTCCCAGCTGCTGGGCTGTTCTTGCTCCTCTGTTCTCAGCCTCATTCTCAATGGACATACCATGTTTTTTTCTTCTGCCTCCAGTATAAGATCACCCCCGCCCAAAAACCTGTGTGCCAAAAGGATCCTTACTCAAGGTGACAGGAAGATTCAAATTCCTTATACTGGTGATAGGCAAATAAGAAGTCAGTAAATTGCTAGGGTGATTCTCTGATTTTGTCAAAAGATTTAGTTAAAAGACCCACTTCCTGAGCTCTTACCCCATCTGCTCTTGGGCAGATCCAGGTGTTTCTTTTAAAAATATACTCTTACAAGCTTTACATCAGATAGCAACAGAGCTTGCTGACTCCTTACCAGCAGGTTAGGTTGGGGAACCCCATGTAGCAGCTTCTGTTGGTGGGAAGTGAGCTGGGTTGTGCAGAAAAGCTACATGAAATGAGCTAAGACATTAAATAACAACTTTCAGCCAAGAGTAAAAATTTTATGCCTGAATTATGAGCCTCCTGTAATAGAAAGTGTAAGGGAAATTCAAACAGGCTATTAATTGTAGCAGTGCCAATATATTAAGATGAATAAGATTTTCTAAAGGTATATACTAAGCAATTTCAGTTCCTTTTACTTGCTTCATTAGGATGAAATTCTTTGCAGATGCATTTTCAATAAACGTGTGTTATGATTTAAGAGCTCCTGCGTTGGAGTCAGTCACCTCTGCCAAGGCTCAGAAAACACCACATTCATAATGCCATCAGGGTTTATTCTGTGGTTACATGCTCCTCTCTGCCTTTGGCTTTCTATAATCTTCATTTGACCTGTGGTAAATTCATGCTGACGGTTCTCACCCTCAAGGAAATGAAGTAAGATTAAGTCTTCTAAGAGTATAAAGTTTTGAAAATTAATCCCATAGTCCCAAAGCCTCTTGGCTGTTTTAGAAAATGGTACAAGTCCACTGGTCATGATATTTTGTTCAGTTGACAAAACTGTTCTGTGGAAAGGCTGAAACTCCTTTGAGAAGGGCAGTTTCAGTTGTTCTTGGTCAATGAAGGTTTCCCTGAAATTCTGCCTGAAATTTCAAACACTGAGAGAGACAATCTATCCAGTGTTATCCATGGCATGGTGGCTCTGTCACACAGCAAGACAAGAAAACTGGCTTAATTCCCTTCTCTGCCTGATTCAGGTCAAGGATTTTAGTCTCAGTTGAGATCTTTTGTCAAAGCACTCACTTCACCTAGTTCAATTTTTTTTTTAAATATTCATGCACTTGAACATTTCTTAGGAAAGACACTGAAAAAAGGAAATGGGAAATGACTTTTAACCTGATCTTATTATGCAGGAGTGGATTGAGTGAAGTTCATAGTACATATGCATAAATATGTCAGCCAACAAATCAAGGAAAAAACCAGAGAAGGCTTAACATAAAAATGATAACCCTAAACACATTTACAAAGGACACAGAGCAGAGTTCTAGACTGAAGTAAGAACTGTGTCTATAAAAGTGATTCTTGTCACTGGAAGAAGAGAACAATTTTGTTTCCATAAAGGATCATCTGCATTAAGTTATTTCTAGTTGTGCATGAGATAATAAGGTTTTTTTATTCCATTACTGGTTCTCCTGTGTTCTTCCTGTGCTAAGCTTCTGCTATGTATGTATGTATGTATATGTGCTACTGTGAACATAAATTTGTGTTACATCACTGTAGAAGTGCTTGCCATTGTATATCTGCCTGCTTAGGTATATTTGGGGAACAGACAATTCTACCAGAAACAACTGAGTAAAAAAATATGCATCAGCATAAATGGTTCCCTTTTTTTCCTGAATATTCATATTCTCATGGGAAGTATTTCCACAGACTTCCTTTAAAGGAATGAAGTGTTTGCAAAGTTTAAAGGGACAAAAAACATTTCCTCTGACTAAGCATCCCTAAAATGTTAAACATAATTTTCACAATACACAAAAATATCTGTTACTTCATTTGACTTGCTCCATAAAGAATTGGTTTTCTGTCAACTTCTTTCCTTCTCTGAAAAAGATATTTCCATCTGAGGCCAGTTGCAAAAAAAATTAAGGAATCTATCAATGGAATAAAAGAAATATCAACTTTATCACAGATGAGATTGGACTATCATTGAAATTGGACTATCACAAAATAAACAAAATGATTTTTTTCTCACATTTCTTGGTGTTTGATGTCTATTGTCATTATGGTAAGTCCAGAGCAATGCTTATTTCTGTCTGTCCAGGAGCATATGCAAGACAGTAGCTTCTCACTGTTTCTGACTGCAAGGTACCTATCACACCACATTTAGCACTTTGAGCTACTGGTGAATTTTCTCAAGAGA